ATTACCATTAGCAAATTCATAGCAAACTTGTCAGTAAGTAATACAATGTTTTTTACCAACTCATGACAACTTGTAAATAAGGGTTTAAATTGATTTTCGATAAGTATTCACTTATGGAAGGAAACAAAATCCCTTGTAGTTATTGTCTCTGTTAAGTAACAAAGAAGTAAGAAGCTTTACTTCAACTGGAAACATCAGGGTTAAATGACAAGAGACCGATTAATAAAAGTCAGTTATTTTAGCATGAGCCCTAATAAAGCCTATGAATTCAGTCAAATCAGTACTTGTGTCCTGCTAAGATGCAGTCAATTCCTTTAACTAAAAAAAATAATAATCTATTTACGTATTAGTTTACGATAAACGTGGAAACAAGGATAAATGCTAATCGAAGTTTGACGAATACATCTTGCCATTTAAGTACACATAGAAATAACGTCGGCATTATTCAGTTCTGTGTTTTATTTTTAACAACGTGAAATTGTAACAATAAAGCTAAAATAACGAAAAATATCGGGAACCCATCTTTAAACGGTGGTGTATAAACGCGATTAACAACAGATGACGTATCGTTATATCAGTATTGTATGCGTGCTAATACATGTAGTTAGATAGTCGTACCATTTTGGTTATTCTACCTAATATATCAAAAATAGTTTTTGTTTTATGGGAAGGTGTATTTATTCAACAACGAGTGATCGTGTTATAAGGTTAATTCTAAAAAAATGAAGAAAAATATGATCTTTAGAGCGTTTTTAGTTTACCTGTATATATTGGAAATTAACCAACGGAAATGAAGATTAACATGTTTAACCACAGTCTGGATTTGGGTAACATCTTTCAACAACTGTTTTTATGACATTGTCGAAATCACAATCTCACAACTATAAGTCAGTCCCGGAAGCAATTTGTAATATATCCAAATTTTGTTTATTAATAAATTCAAATTAAGTCAGAGTGTTTGTTAATTTGTAAAAACATTCATTATGGCGCTACATCGTTGATGAATGACCGTAACTGGAAGTATAAATCAATGTTTGACATACTTTAAACCATAAATTCAGAATATTAGCCAAACAAAATGACGAATTTATGTTTAATCAATACCGATTAATTGATTCCCTTGACGTTGATAAAATAGTTTAAAAGTTTTTCAGTAGTTGTCTCCCTTTTTTTATGGTGAATCAATTCCCACAAATCACGATATCGTAAGGTTATGGGATTTGCCTCCCTTAAGTCCGTAGGAAAATAATAGCGAATGGCAGGTAACCTACAAAAAAGGTCAACACATATAGAGTGATTTGGGAAGGGAGTATCCTCAGAGCTGGATACCAACAAGTAAAACATCCGGTCAGAAAATGCTCGCGAGGAAAATGTACTAAGGACCACTTTAAAAATACACAAGGTTTGACAATTTAAATAAACTCTAACGGACCAATTAAATTCTACATTTACAACTAGAGGCTAAGTAAGATGTAGAGAGGACTTGGGTCAAGCCCCCTTTTGGGCCTGTATCCCTTGGATCTTATGTAGGATGGGTTGTCAATAAATATACATGATTTATTTAATTGTTAATATCTAAAACATAAACAGAAAATGATTAAACAAAAGTTGTAAGATGTTCATTTCACAAGCTAAATTGGAGTTATCTCCCCTGCACTGTTTAATTGGATTGTTATGACAGAATATATGTAATGTTTGTAAATAAGTTTGGAAAGGACTTAAATAGGCCTAGCCTGATGTCCAATCCAATTGACATATAGAAAGTCAATAAAATCTGATGAAATGAAGCCCCTGATCGCTATATATCTTACCGGCTCTTTTGGATTCTTTAGTAGACGAGTAACTGATTTAGTAACTAATTATTCATAGCAGTATTATCCCTACTTAAACCATTAGG